AGCTTCCTTTGAGTGAATAGGTTGTAATTGTTAACGTAATTACTTTTGGTTTTACTTTCACTTGCAAAGTACATTTTGTGAGATGTATGATGATGATATATAGTTTGTCTCTGAGGCTTGTGTTTAATTGCAGTATATATTTTGATGTAGGATATGGTTGAATTATAGATTTAGAGAGTTTAGCGGAAGCTGAAACAATGAAAAACAGAAAATTAAACGAATAAAGATAAGTTTGGAATCACTCCAGGGCTTCACACCAAGGGGTTTTGGCTTCACACCAGAATTCCAGTCTCTCGAAAATTAAAATTTTAACTCAATAATTCTACTCTACCATAATGATGAATTACATGGGGGGTATTTATAGCAAACTAAACCCTAGAGATAACAGGATGAAAATCTCTTAATAAAACATAAATCTTAATCCACACAGGAAAAGGAAAAAAAAAAGTCAATCCAAATAAAATAGGAAACTTAGAAATCTGGAAAAACTAGAAATCCTATTGAAATCTGGAAAACTTAGAGAACCTAGGAAACTAACAAATAAATTAGGAAAACTAATCAATGATGTCCGCATCAATTCCCCCTGGCTGAGAAGCGCTCGATTCCGGCGAGATAGAGTTTGTAATCACGATCCAAAATGTCTCGATTAATGCGCTGCAGGTCCTCTTTGTTTTGCACCTCCATGTTTGGTGGAATCTGATTCATGAGCTTGGGTTGAAGTGGCTTCAGCGTGATGTTCTTTCCTTTATGGATGAATGAACATACATTTTCTCGACCCAATATGGTAACATTGTGATCGTAAATCCATGGTCTTCCCAAGAGAATATGATTCACATCCATTGCCACCACATCACACCAAACATGGTCCTTGTAAGAGGAAAACTCAATAGGAACTTGACATCTCTAGGTAATAGTGATAGAAGATGTATCATCCATCCATGCTACTCTGTATGGTTCAGGATACGTATCGGGTGACAAGCCAAGACGAGAAATGGTTAGTGCAGACACAACATTGATACAACTTCCGTTATCTATGATGACCTTACACTTTTTATCATCAGACTTGATATAAGTGTGGAAAATGGATGTCCTACGCCAATCTTTGGTATCCTTCTTAGGTAGAGTCAATGTACAACTTACCACTGCTAGCCTTGAGTGAGGGGCTTCACCAAAGTCATCTTCTAAATCCTTGTCTGCAAGTTGAGGCTCATAAATTTCTTCACTTTCGCCTTCATTGTCAGCTTGTTTGTCAATGCTTGCACACAGATTTCTTGTTCCCTTCTTCGTTGGGCAATGGACAGCAAAGTGTCCAAAACCTTGGCATCTATAACATCTTGTCGTCCCACCACCGCGGGTATCCAGTAGTGCTCCTTTTTCATTGGCAGGTTTAACTAAATTAGTCGTAAAACCCTTAGATGTTGGAGTCTCAAATGTGCCAACACGAAAATCAGATTTTTGAGAATCAGTTTGCTTGATTACATTGGAGGACTTTAGATAACGCTCCAATTCTTGTACCACCTCAAATGCCCTCTCTAAAGTATTCACGTTATGAAGAATCAATTCTCTTTGAATCTCAGGACTAAGGCCTGATCTAAACCGAGAAAGAGTTACCAATTGATCCTCCCTTACGTCACATCACAACATAAATTCTTCAAATTTTCCAATATATTCAATAACTGGCATGTTGCCTTGACGAAGAGTTTGCCACTGGTCCAACAAGCACTGTTGATAGGAGAAGGGTACATATTTCTGCTTCAGCCTTTCTTTCATCTCACCGCAATGGACAATTAGTTCTTCACCAGCTCTCTCTAGTTGTGTTTCAACATTGGTCCAAAATAATCCAGCTTGACCTAGCAATTTTATTTTAGCAAGTCTAACCTTCCGGGCTTCTGACATGTCATGCCACTCAAAATAACAATCCATGGTAGCTAACCAGTCGAGGAAAGCTTTAGGATTTAACTCACCGTTAAAATTAGGAGCATCAAGTTTCACACTTTCTTCGTCATGTTGAATAGATGCTTCTATGTCTGCAAAACGATGATCAACGAGTCTGGATTGTTCTTCAAATCTGGTGGTCAGATCTGTCACTTGCTTTGTTAGAGTTTCCAGCATTTGAACAATCCGTTTAGAGTCCATCTCTGGCTGGTCTGTCTTACCCCCCTTAGTTGGAGCCATACACTCGACACGGTGTGCAGAAAAGAGACTCAAAATTCTAGCTCTGGTGCCAAATTTGGTGCAAGGATATAGGTGAATTATTTTTAGAGAGTTTAGCGGAAGCGAAAACAATGAAAAATAGAAAATTAAACGAATACAGAAAGGTGTGGAACCACTCCTGGGGCTTCACACCAAGGGGTTTGGCTTCGCACTAGAATTCCAATCTCTGGAAAATTAATCTTTAACTCAATAAATCAACTCTACCATAATGAATTGCATGGGGAGTATTTATTACAAACTAAACCCTAGAGATAACAGGATAAAAATCCCGTACTAAAATAGAAATTCTAATCCACACAGGACAAGGAAAACAAACCAATCCAAATAAAATAGTAAACTTAGAAATCCTACTGAAATCTGGAAAACTTAGAGAACCTAGGAAACTAACAAATAAATTAGGAAAACTAATCAATAATGTCAGCATCAGATTTTCTGTGATAATATATGGCCATAGTTGTGGGACAGTTTACTCTTCATCTATGGTTGCATAAGAAGCCGTGCATGATGAGATGCCCTGGATTCTTGCTGACCCACAATCCTTTGCTGCAGTGTGGTTGTCATGCTGAATTATGCTAAAACGGGCAAATTGTGGTATTTTAACCACTCCGTATCCGACATTGAGCTTGCATAGCTGCAGTAGATGGTTACCGTGGATGGATAAAATGTCAGTTTGGGCGATCGTGCATCTCTCACTATGTATTATAGGCGGAGCAGATGCCTATAGTACGCCAATTATCTCCTTCACCAATTCTTGCTTGTCTATCATAAGTAGTCTGAAATGTTGACTCCCAAGTATTTTCTTTTGTTTTGTAATTTATCCGACTCTGTGATACTTTGTTGTTTTTGTGTGACTCAGAATTTTGTTCTTGGTTGTAGTTTAACTTCCTTTCAGCTTTACCGTTATATACAATAGTTTCCCTTTCCTTTACCAAATTTGGATGATAAACTTGTAAAATTGATAGGAATTTTGCCTGTTGGTGATAATTGCAGAAGAAACTTAACAGATGCTTAATTCTTTCGAAGCCACGAATGAATGCAACAAACCAACGGCCAAAAAAGAATTCGTATACCAACTTTTCCTCCCAAGGACTTTAAATAAATTGATTGAACTAGCCCAAGAATATCAACAAGGTTATGGTACAAATGGCCCTCATTCAAGCACAACGAGTGAGAGACTACATGGAAGCCTGAGGCTCGAAAGAAAATAACTAGTTCTGGTCTAGTGGTATTTTATACGTGTTTCTGACATCTCACAATGATGTTTTTAAGTCATTTTCTTTTGAATTCGTTTGCAGATTTGTATGATATAAATTGATAATGGTGTTGTCACAAATTAATGGCCCGGGTTTCCTCTGCTTGAGTCTTGATCACAACCAAGTATGAAAATATCGGCCATGCAAATAATGTCGGTGCTTAAATTTACGGACATAACCATAGATGGATTGACATTGTTTCTACCATCGGTGACTCAATTTTTTCAGGGTTAGTAAATGGCTAATTAGAATTCATTAGGTTTAGATTGGATTTAAGTAGGGGTTTGAAACACTTAATAGGGTTGGTTGTGTCATGCTACTTCCTCTTCTTTCTTTCTATTTCAAATAAATATATGAAGAAATCAAGCATTTTTGCGACGTTGAAGGCTGATATACGGGAAATGTTGGTGACAGAGGAAATCTCCGCTATATTGGGAAATGTCGAGGGTACGAGAGAAGAAATAGAGGCGCATCATTGTCTTGACAAAAGGGATATATCGGGTGATATTATGGGTGCATTGGCATATATTTTCATCCTTAATCACACGGTTACTAATCCATCGCCTTGCATAAGCACCAATCATAAAGTCAAAATTCAGTATTTGGCATAAATTCTTAAAATTAAAAATATTTTATTCAAATTTATAAATTGAGTTTGAATGGTAATCAAGGGGAAGCCACAACAATGCCACATATACACATGCTTGAAGTGGCCATGCTTTGGGGATTAATTAAGCTCTGCGTTGGCATTTGTCATCATCCATTGTACGTTTGACTTACAACGTTAATCATTTTGCTAACCCAACAACGTTAATCATTATTATCGTTATTCAAAAGACTGCACGCATATTTTATGTAGAGATTTTATATTTAAACCACGCACTTCTCTTTGTTCACCCCAATACTTAAATCATTAAGCTGTAAGTTTTATTATTGTGTAAAAAGACAAAAAAGATCATCCAACTTAATAATTAACCCTAGTACATCTATATACACAGCCCACACCCCACACCCCACACACTCCACCACTATTCATATCAAGTTTTAGAAAAATACAAACTCATCTATATCCTATTGCCAGATTACTCTTCTCTTTTAAAGACATAAAAAATTGACGAGCCTACCTCTTTAAATATGCGTGGGAGTTGATGGAAAGGCTTGTTGATTATCAACTCAACAATACCCTAGTGTTGGAATTCCAGTTACAGTTCTTGGAGAGAGGTAAAGTTGTTCTCTTTCTCTAGAAAGTATTAAATTTCGGGTTTATGGTTCTATTTGTTTGTGTTTTTTTTGCTGGGAAAAAAGAAAATTGTGGGGTTTAAATAGAAAATCTCTTTTATTTCTTATTTTTTCAGTTTGGGGTGTATTTAAGGGTAGTTTGGGAAGATAGTGGGGTTTTCTTAGAAATTGTGAAAATTTAAATTAAAAGATGGGGTGAACTTAGAACATGGGGTGAACTAAGAGAAGTGTGGGGTTTAAATAGAAAATCTCTTTATGTATAACAAATAATTAATCAGATAGAACTAATTATCCAAAGGCATAATATTACTCATATTTGGATGGGGGTCGAAGATACTTGAAATGAATTAACTACAAGCATAATTGTTCTTGTTGTATGCATGCAGCATGAGAAAGAGCTCATTGAGCTGAGAACCCAGAAGCCAATTCAAAACCTTGGTTCAGAAAAGCCCCAGTCACCCAAAGTTTCAAGTTTGGCAAGTTGATGATGTCGTGCTCACATTCCTTTACCTGTTTTTAGACAAATAAAAATTAATTAATGTTGATGAGAGAGAGAGAGAGAGAGAGAGAGAGTTGAGCAGATGATGAAATTGAAAGCTCAAGTACATTATATACATTTAAAGCAAGTGTTAACTCAAATCTATCAGTCGAAACTGTGTTCAAGTTAGAACTCTGAACATTGAAGCTTGTAAAGGATTCGAGAGCCTTGTAGAGTGCCGCGGCTACTCCTCCTCCCTTGTTACATGCCACCTTCACATAAAAACCTTTTTCCTCCACTTGAGACACATCAATCTGCAAAGACATAAACTAGTTTCAATAATTAATATTGCAGAAATGAATGGTCCTCATAAATTGAAATCCAATTTGATTGAATGTTTACTTGAATGATGCCTTTGGAAACTAAATTGCTGTTGTTTGTAACTTTATTCTTGCTTGGATTTTCGGTTGATCCGTCTTGATATCCCTCATGATCATCTGCTCCTGCTAAGGATGCTTCAAGGCTTACAATCTCAGCTTTCAACTTCTTTGCCTGCTTTTGTAGGTCTTGTACATACAGCACAGCATCTCCAACAATGGAGGCCTTATCCATCTGTGCATATGTATATCCAACAAATTAAACAATAATCATGCATGTATCATATAATTATACATATATGTCGGACACAATGTTATTGGAATTTTTAAAGAAACTAGACCTGTACCTTTCAAGAATACATTTTTGTATGAAACTTCTTAGGACTAGTAAAAAACGGGGTGCATCATGTATAGGCTATGGTGGTCACACATGTTGAGAGTCTTCTCACACATCGGAGAAGTAAAGTCTTGCTAGTTTTGGGTTGGATGCTCTTTAATTCTATCAACACGTACGTACCTTAGTTATGTTCGGAACCAAGGACCGCAGTGCATAGAGCCTTTCTTTCATCCTCCCCCTCCTCCTTCTCTCCGAGACCAAGGTTCTCGACCGATCAACCTTTTGCCTCTTGTTCGTGGTCGTGGTCGTGGTCGTTGTTCCAGACGAATCCTCGCCATTATGATCTTCTTCCCCACCCTTCATTTCTCCATCAAAATTTGGTAATGTGGTAAGCAAAGGAGCACTTGGGTCGGATAATGTGCCAAGAAAAGAAGCACTTGGGTCGGATGCAACGGCATCATTGAAACCAAAAACCACACCTGGAGTAGTACTTGCAGGACAAAACAGGTTATAATCATCAAAGCAGCCATTGATCATAAGGTCACAATCAAAACTCGCTACTGGATCTTCGTTCTGGCCGCGGATAAGATCAATGAATTGATCAAAGTTTGCATCATCTATGAGGTCTTGTAACTCAAAGTCATTGATGTTATGACCTCCTAGATGGTTTCCATGGGCATCCATATCCTTTGTTTGATAGTGAGGTTTGTGTAATTATGTGTCATAAAATTTGTTTATATATATACAGAAATCGTGGATGTGGTTTCATGTTTATCTCAAGTGTGAAAGGAATCAGGATGGGGAATTTTTTTTTTCTGACGTTGGAGCTGTTATTAATTAAAGTTTAAGGGAGCTGACAAAACTACAACACCAACAGTGCCTCTTAATAAGTACAAAAGAAAACTTGTCATGATACATATGGGTGTTAATAAGGAGATTAAAATGGTGTTTCTTTTAATTAAATGACCAAACAAGTATCCACATTTGTTCAGGATAATTTGAATGAAGACTAATTAATACCAAATTACAATAACAAATACTATTCCTATATTATATGTTTTCTTATTCCATAGATGATATATATATATAGTTATTCTCTTATTCGGATCTCTACACGTTATTACTGTGCAGATGCCATTGTAAACAAGGAGTAAAGCAGGGAGGAGTAGTAGAAAATACATAATCTCCATTCTATATATATATGTATGTATAACTCATCTTGTTGATTAGATGATGAGTAATGCGCAAACCATGTGCAATCATAAAGTAAAACAATTCTATAAAGAAGGTGCTATGCATATGTGTGCAACGTTTCTCAAATTGGTTTTGACTTTTTATTACAACTTTAAAAAAAGAATGCAACAAGATGAGAAGCAGTATGGTTCATCAAACCATGTGAGGCAGAGAAAACAATTATGATTTGTTCCTTTTTTTTCATTTTTATGGGGATAATTAATTATCTCTTCCTGGACAATTTTTTGAAATACTTGAAAACACTTGACGATAATAAACTTTTTTATACCATAATGTTCCATGAAATATTCTCACGTCTTTTTTTATGACTGGTGATATAGTACTATAGTTGATGTAATTGTATAGTTCATGGAGATTTTTTTTCCTTACTTCTAAAACTTTTAGATTGATTTAGAGATTATTTGAGTTTGTTAAGAATGATTCAGTATGTTTTAGGACACTTGGGAGTTTAGGGTAATCTTAGAGTTGTTTGCAGCTCGACAATGTTTCAAAGTCGTATTCTTTAAGGGAGTTGTTATCGGCACTCTAAAAATGTCATCATGCATTTTTTTTTTTTGTTGTAAAAATATAAGAGAGAATCGAATAATGAACTTTTTGAGTGCCAATAACAGCTTAATTTTCTATAAATAAAAAAATTTGTCATGCGGATATAAAAGTTGATCGAAAATAAAGAGATGGTATGTTATACGTACAGAAAGCAAGGAATATTATTAATAAGTTAATAAACATTATATTTTTAAATCAAAAACAAATTAATCAAATTTTTATATGAGGTTTCAAAGTCTACTTCTAAAGTAAACCCAAGACTTCTTGTATTTAAAAAAGAAAACAATTACAGCTATTTTGGAACAAATTTAGGATTAAAAACAGTAAACATATATAGTTAACAAATTAAATAAATCTTATTTTCACCAATATTCCACTTGTTTAGTCAACTCCCATCAAATCTTTTTACTATGTCTGTAATCTTCTTCTGTATATTTTATCACAGAGAGGTCCCACTTCCTCTCCCTGGTCGGCTGTTAGCTTATCCAATTCCCTCCCCAATGATGAGTTCTCCATTTGCCTCGTACAAACTCTCTTTATATTATATTTATTTATAATTTTGGTAAAAATAATTCTTTTTATTTTAGGTACTCCCTTTGCTGCTTTTGGCAGATCGTCGGACTGGTATTGACCTGAAGCCAGGACTTTCCTGCGTTAACTTGCATCATCTTCATAGATTAAAATCGAAGATTCTACCAGAAGCTTAAAGTTGATCTAACAAACACCTCCACTAAATTCTTTGGCATATGTTTAATCAATGTTTTGTCCTACTCCTAAAATTATAATTGGAAAAATTGTTCAGTAAGTGTGACTTTAACACAGTTATGTAGAGTTACTAATCTTCGTGTTATATGAACAGGTGACATAAGATCGTCAGTTAGAATGAAAGAGAACTAATCAAGACCATCCTCGATTCAAACTATAAATTCGAAATAAAAATAATAAGGCGTGCAAAGTCATAAGCCGCAAAATAGAGCTAGCACATCAACTAAAACCCCCCCTCACAGCCATCTACTTCCCTCCATATACCAGTAGTACATTCCAGAAATTAAAAAAATTTAAAAAAAATCTCATGATCTCATGAGTTGCATTTTTTTTTTTTTTATGAACGAATTATCTTACAAGTCGCTTAATTAAATTACTTGAATACTTGAAATATTCTAGAGATATTAGATGCTTCTTGACTTGGAGAGCTTTCTTTGCGTCACTTAATATGTCATTTTGGCACCAAATGGCTTGAAGGCATGGCACATGACGGCATCAGCTTCTACTTAAAAATAGCTAATCATATTATCGGATGGTCGGACCAAGCTAATAATGTTCATGGAACTAATTAAGCCTTAATTCAATGGCTTAATGTGACATGTCGTATATTGTTTATTGTAAGTTTGCAATCAAAACATCGGACTGAGTTTTGCACGTGTTGCACAACACGTGATTGTAAGACACCTCATTAGGGCACGTGCATACATGCCGCAATCCACACTTCTTGTTCAACATTTATAATTTCAAATTCTACTAGTCTCTCATTCAACACTGATAATATATGAATCTTCTTCAATACTTCATACACTTTACCCTTTTTTTTATTTATTTATTTATACACAAGCGATATTATAAGATGATGATTCGAATACAGAACCTCAAATACATGGATTATTTTCTCTTAACCACTTACAAGAGCATTACTTCATACACGTTACCTTTAATTTTAAGTGTATAAGCCAATACCTTTATGGAGTAATCATCAATAAAAATAACAAAGTATCTCGTGATAGTGCTCATAAGACCACAAACATAAGAATATAGAACATCCGATATATTGTATTTTTCAGAATATAGAGCATCCAATATATGACGATATGAAACTTTTTGTTGTTTTCCAACCAATAAACGCTTGCATGATTTTAGAGACATACTTTTTGTCCCCTCCGGATTTATGCCTCTTTTTTGGCAAGAATTTTAAGCTATTTCTCACTGATGTGACCAAGCAGTGTATGTTAGAGCTCGACTGAATCTTCTCCAAGAGCTTTTATGTACTGATTGCTAACCTTTGCATGTATTATGTAAAATGTGCTCTTCTTCTTTCCTTAAGCTATATAGAACAATTGAGTTTTTGTTGAGTTTTCATTTTCCATCAGCACTGACATTAGTGTATTATTTATCGTCGTATAATTCTTCATTTCTATATGGGGGAGTTTCAAAACTACTGCATAAGTAATGGAATCATGCATAAATGATCTGTTCAAAAAACTCCTCAACATAATAGCATAGCTAAGAGGATAAACATAACTATTGTTGAAAGAATCATAACAATGTTATCGCATGCCAAACTATGAAAGAGTTTTTGGGGTGAAGCTCCCATGATTACGGTTGATCTAATTAACCTTTCTACTTCAACACCTTTTAATGGTGATGTCCCGAACAAGTTCTAGTCAGGAAAAGATATTTCCTACAAATCATTGAAAGTGTCCTTCTTTGCCTCGTCTATAAAAGGAAACGAGGGGACACAAAATCACAACTCAGAAAAAACCTAGCTCGACTAATTTTCTTCCTTCCCATTTGTCTCAATCTAAACCTATATCCTCCAACTCAAAAATAAAATGGCGTCTTCCTTCCCATTTTCTCTTAATCTCAACCTAGCTCTGCCAACTAGGGATGGCAACGGGCCGGGTATGACAATACCATCCCCGTCCCCGCTCTCCATCCCCAGCCCCATCCCTGAACCAATCCCCGTTTAATAGGTTTCGGGGAATTCCCGTCCCCGTACCCGTCAGGGGACTATCCCCCATACCCGGCCCGAATCCCCGATTATTTTTGCATAAAAAATATTTATCATACATTTTAACATTAAGTTTCATATTAAATTATCATTCAACACATTCAAATTAACTATAAAGTTCAACTCAACTATTCAAAATCACATCAATATGAAAATCCAGAGAAGATTAGGAAGAATTAGGAGATGGAGGTTAACTTAGGGTTAAACATAAATATTATAATTATTTATTTATTTATTTAAATATAAACATATATATTTTCGGGTCGGGTTTGGGGATGGGGACGCCAATACCATCTCATCCCCATACCTGTCGGAGATGGTTCGGGGATCCCCGTACCCAATACCCGTTTGGCCTCGAAATCTTTC